TCAGGGGAAATGGCTGCTGTGTGTGAGACCAGGAAAATCTGAACTTTCCCACAGACACAGCAGTCAGCAAAATTACTGAGATGTAGGACATTAAGGGGCAGTGGAAGTACTGCCCCTGTCCCACCACCAGTCAGGATTAGACAGTGCCTTTGCCTCATCTACTTCTGCTTCATTGACTATGCTAAAGCCTTTGATTGTGTGGATCACAACTATGGCAAGTCCTTAAAGAGATGGGAGTACCAGACCACCTCACATGTCTCTTGAGAAACCTGTATAAGGGTCAAGAAGCGACAGTTAGAACCGGATATGGAACAACTGATTGGTTCAGCATAGGAAAAGGAGTACGACAAGGATGTATATTGTCACCTTGCTTATTTAATATATATGCAGAGTACATCATGCGAAATGCTGGCCTGGATGAATCACAAGCGGGAATTAAGATTGCTGGGGAAAAGATCAACAACCTCAGATATGCAGACGATACCACTCTAATGGCAGAAAGTGAAGAGGACCTAAAGAGCCTCCTGCTCAGAGTAAAAGAGGAGAGCGCAAAAGTGGGCTTGAAGCTCAACATCAAAAAAACTAAGATCATGGCATCCGGCCCCATCACTCCTTGGCAAATAGAAGGGGAAGCTGTGGAAGTAGTGACAGACTTCACGTTCCTGGGATCCCAGATCACCACAGACTGTGACTGCAGCCATGAAATTAAAAGACGCCTGCTCCTTGGGAGGAAAGCGATGGCGAACCTAAACAGCATGATAAAAAGTAGAGACATCACCCTGCCAACAAAAATACGCATGGTCCAAGCAATGGTATTCCCAGTAGTCATGTAATGGCAAACCTGGACAGCATGATAAAAAGTAGAGACATCACCCAGCCAACAAATGTCCATATGGTCAAAAAAATGGTATTCCCAGTAGTCATGTATGGCTGCGAGAGTTGGACTATAAGGAAGGCCAAGCACCGAAGAATAGATTCTTTTGAACTATGGTGCAGGAGAAGACCCTTGAGAGTCCCTTGGACTGCAAGAAGAACAAATCAGTCAATCCTAAAAGAAATCAACCCTGACTGTTCCCTGGAAGGCCAGATAATGAAACTGAAGCGGAAATACTTTGGCCACCCAATGAGAAGGGAGCACTCACTGGAGAAGAAGACCCTGATGCTGGGAAAGACTGAAGGTCAAAGAAAACAGGGACGGCAAAGGATGAGATGGTTAGACAGTGTCATAGATGCAACGAACATGAAACTGAGCAAACTCTGGAGCATGACGGAAGACAGGAGGGCCTGGCGTGATGTGGCCCATGAAGTCGCAAAGAGTCGGATTCAACGTGCGACTGAACAACAAGTTGCCGAAGAGAAGGTTCGTGACACCCCCTCAGAGAGACCCCCATCCTCTTGGGGATTAACAATTGGCTTTGGACACCAGAGCAATGAAGGAAAATAAACTTCCCTGAGAAGCGTTAACAAGCCCGGCCTGTATTTGAGGCCCTCGGAGCAGGTGAGCGTAGAGGAGGCGAAGCCAACAGCCTCGGAGGCCAAGTTTTCTTTGGCTCCAGGGACAATCCCAGGCCTTGTCCCCACGGATCCTGCCCACTCTAGAAAACTTCCTCCTCACTGCTCCTCAAGATCGAACGGTTCCGCGAAAAGGCTCAGTCCTGTGCTGGATCAGAGAGGGCAACATGGGGAGGAGGGGAGGAGAAGGAAACTTTGCCAATGAGAGCAGGGGGCAAAAGGCATGCCAGTCTCTTCCAGGCACTGTTTGGGCTTCCCTGCTTCTCAAGACTCTGCAAACAGCTCCTGTGCCATCTCGGGCCAACTCTTGCGTTCCCAGTATCTGGGGCCAAGAAAGGTGCCAGTTTGGAGACTGGCCACTGCTCCCACTGCTTTGAACAGCATTTTGGTTTACAGGCATTAGAGGAATCAAAAAACAACACAAAAACAAACTCGATTGGTGAAAACGTCAAGACTAACCGATATTCCGTGGTGTGAGTTCTTGAGGACTGGAGCCGTTGTATGAAGTGTATCCTCAGTTGGCAGAGAGAGACAGACAGACACAGATATATATACACAGAGAGAGAGAGAGTGGGGGTGTTGACCTGGGTGGCCCAGGCTAGCCCGATCTCGTCAGATCTCAGAAGCTAAGCAGGTTTGGCCCTGGCTAGTAGTACTTTGACGGGAGACCACCAAAGAAGTCCAGGGTTGCTATGCAGAGGCAAGCAACGGCAAACCACCTCTGTTTTGTCACTGTCCTGACCAGAGGTCATTTCGGGGGGAACGCGGGGGATCGCAGTTCCCCCGGGTGAGGTGCGGGGGGCGGGGCACATGATGAAGCCCCTCCGCCTGCTTCCGGCCGCCCCGCTTCCAGCCCTCATTCAGCCAGGAGGAGGCAGGAGAAGAGGGAGGGTAAGTTGCTTCCTCCCCGCCTCTCCCCACCCCTGCCTGGGGCCAGGGAGGGCCTTGGCGGGGCTTCCTCGCACTCCTTGCAGGTCCACCGCCGGGCCCCTGATGTCAGGGGGTGTGGCATATGCTAATGAGTTATGCTAATGAGTTCCCCTAGCTCTTTTTCTATGAAATGACCCCTGGTCCTGACCATCCCGGTCCAGGCTAGCCCGATCTGGTCAGCTCTCGGAAGCTAAGCAGGGTCTGTCCTGGTTAGTACTTGGAGAGGAGACTACCAAGGAAGCTCAGGGCTGCTACACAGAGGCACGCAATGGCAAACCACCTCTGAACTTGAAAAATCTATGGGGTTGCCCTGGGTTCGTATCTTTTCAGCATTTCAGCTAGAAGCTCTGTTTAACAGGATTCCTTTTAGTCTGCACAGCCAATCAGAAGCCCTGCCGGGCAAAAGCCCGACCCATGTTCTAAAAGCACTTGGCAGGTACCAGGAAGAATTTGGGCAGGCGGCATGGTGCCCACGGGCACAACGTTGGGGGGCCCTGCACTAGCAGATGGCAATACTTATCGCCATGCTGTTAAAACAATCACTTGCTGATTACAAAGGGCACAGAAACAGGCTACCCTCTCCCCCATACTGTGAAGTCTGACAACTCTAACGGTGTGTGGCACTCTAGATTGTGGGATCACTTTGTGTTAGGTAAGATCTCGAATGGTACACTTATGTCTCAGTCAGAGAAACAACTAGATTTCGTAGCTGTATGGTACCCTGTGAGGGAAGTGAATGGTTAAAATGAGCTGGAAGCGGCTGTAATCAGGGGTCTTTTAATAGAAAAAGAGGTGCAGAAGCTCATTGGCATAACTTATTTGCATATGCCACAGCCCCTGACATCACCGGAAGTGTGTCAGAAGGAAACACCCACCGCTCAGGTTCCACTGGACTGTTTCGGATTGCTAGCTATTGGGGGGGGGGATGTGGAGATCTGTCCTCGCAGAGGAGGGAGAGCTTGTACCTTAATAAAACTTGGCCTTAAAGGTACCACTGGACTGTTTTGGGCCGGAGGGCCAGGGGGGGAGGCTCTGCAACTTACCTGGCTGCTTCTTGCTCTGACTGAGGGCTGCTGGGAGGCGGGGGGGGGGTTGTTGCATGTGCCCGCCCCCTGGGCCTTTTATTGCCGGAGCTCCGTTCCTGTGTGCTCCTGCAGGAAATGACCCCTGGCTGTAATTGTTTAGAACAATAGCAGGATGATGGGCCTTTCTGAGAAGCAGAGGCAGAGTAATAGGTTTAAAGATAAGGTGGGAAAGGGGTGTAAAAGAGCCTTGACTTACATAAACACTAATAAGAACGCATACTTAATAAACTAATTACTATTATCTGTCCCGCCTTGTTTACTTAATTAGCTATTTTAAATGCACATACAATCCATGATCGGGGGGGTCATGTCAAAGAGTTGTATGTTTTATGGTGTGTTTTAGGCGGAATGGAAAGAGTTGTAAGCTCTGGATCCAGTGACGGTAAAGGGGCAGGGCATACCGGACGGGAGAGGTGATACACCGAGGATGCTTGGAAAGTTAATTCGAGTTCGTCCGCACTCCCTTTGTTGCAATAAAGACATCAAAAGCTATTCCTGACTGACTTTCTTTTCTTTGGTATATCCCTTAGAGTTAGGCTTGCCAAGTCCCCCTTGGGTGGCAGGGAAACCCCCACCCGAGAGGTCCGTTAAACGCCGGCGGCGAATCGAGCCCTGGGGGGGGCCCCAAGGTAAACTTTTGTGCCACGATCCTCTGTGTTAATAGACTGTATATAATGTGGAAGTTGTAACATTGCCGAATACTGCGATAATAAGGTTGTTCGAATTCCTTTTATGTTTATTATGTTAAAAATGTTCTGTTATAGTTGGATATATGCTGTTTATCCTAAAATAATAAAACTGTTTTAAAAAAAACCCTCTAATGGTATGTGTTACTCAGGTCCCACAACCCTTTCAGTGAATGAGCCACAATAGCTTTCATCCTTAAACTCTTCCTCATTTGCTTCCTAATTGGTTTTATACCCCTTTCACTGTCATGGCTCCCCTCATAGAAGTGTGAGAATTGTGATCTTGTGTGAAGCGACTTGTGCAAAGAGAATTGTAAGAGATCATCAGCTCCACATCACTGAACTATGATCTACGGGATTCCCCAGAAAGAAGGGAATGCCCTGATATACGTTTAAATCTGTGATGTGGGTATACAGAGGCAATGCCACAGAATTTTTCCACCTCACGACCAGTGTTCCCTCTAAGCTGAGCTAATGTGAGCTAGCTCACAGTTTTTTAGCCTCCAGCCCACAGATTTTTGTCTTCGCTCGGGAAGGGAGGGCTCCAGACCAAACCAATTTATGCAGTAGCCAAATTGCTCCCTCACAACTTTAATCCCAGTAGCTCACAAAGTAGAATTTTTGCTTCCAAGACTCCACAGCTTAGAGGGAACATTGCTCACGACTGTGATCAGTGGAGAGAGTAGGAACATAAATATCCAGTGAGACCAGGGCTGTATACAGGAACCCACGGTGGTGTCGCGGTGTCCCAGTTTCAGTTGCCCCTCTTTCCGTAGCCCAGACTCACATGGTGAAGTTGGAGATAAAGGCTGAACTCGGCAGGTCCAGATCAAAGATGGCTTCCTTGGCCTCGGTGTGAGGGTTGCTCATGAATGTCCACACCCGGGTGGAAGCATAACGGGAGACGATCGCTGAGCGCACCAAGAAGCTGGAAATAGTGAGCTGAAGGAGAGAAACCACAAAGGCGTTCAAAGCAGGGTATGGACAGCCAACCGACTGGGGTTGCCAACTCTGGGTTGGGAAATTCCTGGAGATTTGGGGGTTGGGGCCTGGGGAGGATGGGGTTTGGGGAGGGAAGGGACCTCAGCACTGGCAGTGTCCCCTCTAAGCTGAGTTACTGGGAGCTAGTTCACAGTTTTTTTAGCCTCTGGTTCAAAGTTTTGTCGTCGCTCAGGAAGGATGGCTCCAGAGCAAGCTAATTTATGCAGTAGCCAAATCGCTTGGTCACAACCTTAATGCCAGCAGCTCACAAAGTAGAATTTTTGCTCATAAGACTCCACAGCTTAGAGAGAGCATTGCTCAGCAGGATATGATGTCATTGTCTCCAGATGAAATTATCTTGGTTGCCTGGATAACAATTGTAATAGTGGGAGGTCTCCAGGTACTACCTGGAGGTTGGCAACCCTGTCCACCACTGAAGAAGCGCCCCACCACACAAGTGTTATGAGCTAATTTGCAAGGTAGACAGATTGCAGAATCCTGCAAAAAAAAATAAAAAGGATTGTGAAAACAAGAAATATGGATGGAATAGGAAGCCCATGAGGCCACAAGACTGGAAAAACTAGATTTCTTCATGCAGTTATAACTTAATTAATTAATTATTATATGGGAAGGGGTGTAGTATAGCTAGGAGATCTGACAATTGCCTGGCAGCCTGACATTCTAGCTCTTTTTGTGGCGAGCTAGGATTATTTTGAGAGGTTGAGAGTACTGTGACTGACCCAAGGTCACCCATCTGGCTGCATGTGGAGAAGTGGGCAATCGAACCCGGTTCTCCAGATTAGAGTCCGCTGCTCTTAACCATGTCACCAAAATGGCTCTCTGAAGTTCTTGAGTTTATGGGATCAGTTGGAATTCCGGGGGAACTCCAGGCCCCACCTGGAGGTTACAAACCGTAAGGCATCTACGCCGGTGTAGAATAATAGATAATAAATCCATTCGCAATTTAATGTCTTGCCTACCTCTGTCTTTGGGGCTTTTGCTTGTCGCTTAAACCTCTGTGGAAGAAATGAAAATAAGTTATTTTCTTCAGGATTAACAAAAAAGGGGGGCAGAGGTGAAGCACGTTTAACAGCAAGAAACTGAAGACATTCCGGCTAGCAGGAGAGCAGGCAGAGTTTGCACACGTCGCTGTCTCTAAAAAGTCTTCACACACGAACCTATGGGAGACGGCCTTATACTGCCTCACACTCTCAGTTCATCAAGTTCAGTATTGTCTGCTCAGGCTGGCAGCCGCTCTCCAGGGTCTCAGGCAGAGGTCTTTTGCATCAGCTACTACCTGATACTTTTTTTAAACTGGAGGTGCCGGGGATTGAACATGGGACCTTTTGCGTGCTGAGCAGAGGCTCTGCCACTGAGCCACAGACCCTCCACAAAAGCAGCCCTGCCTAGGAGCAGCAAAGAGCGAGTGTGGTGTAGTGATTAGAGTGTCAGACCTGGATCTGGGAGACCCTAGTTCAAATCCCGACTCCTCCGTGGAAGCTTGCTGGGTGACCTTGGACCAGTCACATGCTCACAGCCTAACCTACCTCACAGGATTGTTGTGAGGATAAAACGGAGGAGAGGGGAATTATGTAAGCCACTTTCGGTTCCCGTTGGGGTGAAACCAGGGGTCATTTCCTGCAGGAGCACACAGGAGCGGAGCTCCAGCAGCAAAGATCCCAGGGGGCGGGCACATGCAACAAGCCCCACCCCCTGCTCCCAGCAGCCCCAGGCCACGAGGAGCAAGAAGCCTCTTTCTTTCTTTTTCGTTCTTTCTCGCCTTCTTTCCTTCTCTCCCTTTCCCTTTTAATTTCCTCTCCCTCTTTCCTTCTCTTTTTTCCTTCTTTCCTTCCTTCCTTCCTTCCTGCATAGATCTGCGCGTTCCCCCACCCGCCTTCCTTCCTTCCTTCCTTCCTTCCTTCCTTCCTGCATAGATCTGCACGTTCCCCCACCCGCCAGCTAGCAATACAAAACAGTCCAGTGGAGCCTGAGCGGTGGGTGTTGCCTTCTGACACACTTTCGGTGATGTCAGGGGGTGTGGCATATGCAAATGAGTTATGCTAATGAGCTCCTGCACCACTTTTTCTACCAAATGACCCCTGGGTGAAACACAGGATATAAATGAAGTAAATCGGGCCTCTTCTTCTGAAGGCACAAATTACAGTTACAAAGTCCAAAGTTGGAAAACAATGTCCCGCTTTCAAACTCGGCAAAGGGGAATAAGTTTAAAAGAGGTACCAGCCACTACTGTGGCATGACATCACAAGCACAGATGATGGAGCTACAAGACATCCAAAGCTGGCCCAGTGTTCCCTCTAAGCTGAGTTAGTGTGAGCTAGCTCACAGTTTTTTAGCCTCCGGCTCACACCTTTTTGTCTTAGCTCCGGAAGGAGGGCTCCAGAGCAAACTAATTTATGCGGTGGCCAAACCGCTCGCTCACAACGTTAATGCCAGTAGCTCACAAAGTAGAATTGTTACTCACGAGACTCCACAGCTTAGAGGGAGCATTGCTGGCAACCCTAGGCCTCATTTGTGGGAATTAGTGGTTTCTTATGAAGGCCTTGCTGGTCTCATTTACAACATGTTTTCAATGCAATTGCGTCTGGTCTGCGTTGGGTTATTTTGAGTCAACTGAACTGTGTCTGGGGAATACATTTTTTTCTTCCAGTAGGTTCCCATCCAACTCCGTTGGGGACCAAAGGAAAGGCATTTTTGCAGTGTGAGTCGCAAGTAGCCTGGGAAACAATCTGCTCAGCTTTGAGAGAGCCTGGGGAAACGCGAAGGCCTAGCGCTCACTGTAGGGCTGCCAACCTCCAGGTGGCGGCTGGAGATCTCCTGGGATTCCAGCGGATCTCTCGGCAACAGTTCCCCTGGAGGAAATGGCCGCTTCGGAAGGTGGACTCTACGGCATTAGACCCCCACTGAAGTCCCTCCCCTTCCCAAACCCCACCTTTTCCCAATCCAGAGCTCTCAACCCTATAGATTCACTGACGTGGTAGAAGTTTGAGCTGCAGCACTGTTGAGGGGTGGTGGGACTCACATTGTAATATAGAATTAGGCAGGTGTCGTTTTGTAAAAAAAGAGCTAGGGGAACTCATTAGCATGACTCATTAGCATATGCCACACCCCCTGACATCACCGGACGTGTGTCATAAGGCCACGCCCCCTGACATCACCGGAAGTGTGTCATAAGGCCACACACCCCGCCCCCAACGGTTCCGGCCACCGCCGGCCTTGCAGCTCCACTGCCAAGCCCCATGGGGGGCCCGGCGGTGGACCTGCAAGGCCAGCGGGAGTGCGAGGAAGCCCCGCCAAGGCTCTCCCTGGCCCCAGGCAGGCAGGGGTGGGGAGAAGCAGGGAGGAAGCAACTTACCCTCCCTCTTCTCCTGCC